TTTTTTTTGCGAGAAACACTTACTATTTTAAAAATAATCAAACATTTATATATATATATAGATAAATTAACATATTTTTGTTAATCCGAACCTAATTTTTTTTGATTGGAATTAAATTAAAAATCTATTCAAGCCAAATAATAAAACATGGAATTTTGACATTTAAGATCCCAAAGCATGCGAGTCTGCCACTTAAATTCAGCACATTCAGAAATTATATATAAGAGGGTGCCATTTGTTTTGACTTTGATACCTTCTCTTTATTTCTCTCTCTTAAACCTTTAATTTGTCCATTTGCATTATTTTTGTGAAAAATGCTATTTGTTTGCAAAATGACTTTGACATTGCCAAGTCTGCTACAAATTTACCCTCAAAATATTACTCAATAAATTTACCTTCTATTGTTTTTGTAGAAGAGTACTTAATTACTACTTTATATTCAATTTAAAAAGGCATTACCATTTATCGCTCCCCTTTTATTACTCGCTGCTCCTCACTCCAATTATGTTTTTGCCCTTCTGACTCTCTCTCTACGTTCTCTCTCTACTCTTTCCCTCTGCACTTTTTACGACTCTTTTGACCGTCAAAAAAATTTCGAAAAAAATACCAAAAAAATACCATGACATCAGCAAGACATTGAAGATTGACTATGTATTTTTTATATTTTTTTACTTTATAAATAATTTTTAAATATTTTTTTTATTTTTTTTTACACGTCCGAACGGACGGACCGGACGCCCCATGGTGTGTCCGGACGGACGGACCGGACGCCCCATGGTGTGTCCGGATGGACGGACCGGACGCCACATAGTATGTCCGAACGGACGAACCGGACGCGACCATGTGCGTCCGGCCGAATCGGCCGGACACACCATGTGGCGTCCGGTCCGTCCGTCCGGACACTATGGAGCCTCCGGTCCGTTGTTTGTAGTTTTTTTTTGTGAGTGGATAAATTTGTAACCGAGCTATCCGGACTCGAGTCGTTCTCAAAGGAAGACTGTTCGGAGCGTCGTTTACTATCGAGTTGTCAAATTCACAAGACCGAAAATAAAATCCTAAACATTCTAACAAGATGATATGGGATAGATTTAACAGAATAAAAATAATAACTACGAACAAATAATAAAAATGCAATAAACGAAAGAAAAATCGAACATTAGTTACACGAAGTCCACGTAACTTGACGAAAATAAGAATACCGAAAAATAAAACACACAAGCCTAGTGATCCTAAGTCTTCGAATACGAGTCTTACCTAAATCATTCCTCTTTTAACAAAGTCGAAAACTCTAAATTGGATAAACACGTATCGAACCTTAATACACATAGACAAGCGATAAAAATAAAACAAACTAAACAAAACATATTATGCCAATCAATTCAAACTCGAAATAATAAGTCCTCGCCGAGGTCCCTATTTTCCTATCGCAAGAATGAAAGAACATAACACGTAACGAACGAAAATAACATAACCGAAAATAAATAACAGAAAAATTATCGAAAAAATCGCCGAAAAATGTCAAGCTCGTGTCTCCAACCGACGTCCAAATTACACAACAAAATACATAAAAATAAAAGAAAAGAAAAATAAGAAAAGAAAGCTCTGAAGAACAGAAAAAGAAGGAGCCGAGCTCCTTTCCCGCAGTTGGGAGAATAATGAAGTGTGTCCGGCAAAAGAAATATATCGAAAATATATAGCAATCACGGACCCTCTTTATCTATCGAGTGGAATATTATATTCTCATCCCCATATCTTCTGACGCACTAATGCGATCTTTTGCAGAAAATCCGGATAGTATCTTCATCGAGACACGGCACAAGAAAAGATCACCTCATGGCATAAATAAAAATATAAAATAATAATAAAAAAATAAAATAAAATAAAATAAATAAAAAAAACACAGCTGCAACTGGTGTGCGACTTTCCGGCGCAATAATGAACTTTTGCACATAGTCGAGCGGCGATGATCACGTCACGGAGAAACACCAGACACGACTGAAAAATATGACAGCGACGAGGAGAAACAGAATGGCCGGAA